GATCCGGTGATCTAACCATTATGCCATCTGCTGGTCCCCACCTTTTTTTTTTTCAAAGGAATTATTTTATATAATTTATTTTAATTTGACCAGAGAAGAACGAGAGAAAGCAAGCTGCCAGGTCTGGGACTCAAACCAGTCAGCCACGTGGGAGTCCAGCACCCTTAACAACTATGCCACCTGCCAGCTCCTTATTTTAATGTATAATTTGGACTTATTTTTTTCCCAGAAGGAAGTTTTTCAGTTCTTTCTTTTTTTTTTTTTTTAGGAGGTTTATTGCTCCAAGGTGCTTGTGCTCGCCAGAGAGACAGAGAGCGAGAAATCACCCCCAAGTGGGGATGGCCACGCCGCAATCGCTTCTCCTTCATTCTCCTCTCAGGATCTTAGGCACGCATGCACACGTGCCCGGCATGAGTTTAAGCCACCGGGCCTGTGACTGGAACCACGGTCGACTACAGGGGAGTTCAGTGACATAGCCATTTCGCAGCTAGTCCGGACAGTTTTTCAGTTCTTAAAGACTCAGCTCCTTACATGGGCTTTGGTGGAGGGTGAGGGGCAGTACCTGCAGGTCTAAATCAGGGACCAGCAGATGGCGTAATGGTTACGTCACTGGACTCCCACATAGTCAGCCACAGCTCAAGTTCCAGACCCAGCAGCTTCAAGTCACAGTGAGCACGTGTGCGTATGTGCTCCAAATCCTAAAAGAATGGATTGTGGTGTGGGCCACTCACCTGGGGGGGGCGGATTTCTCACTTAATGTCTCTCTGGTGAGCACATGCACCCTGTAGCAAAAATCTCTCGAAAATAAATAAATCAATCAGGGCGGGGGCCCTCGGTGTGAACTTCATGGTCCGTTCCTGACTCCCTTGCTATGGATGGCGCAACTCACAGTAATGTAGCTTTACATACAGCTTGAGGAGCACATGGACATCAAAGACACTTGCTTCAGAGATGTCCCTGACAGCTGTGGCCTCTGCTATGTTTTAGATGACAAACTTTTTAGTTATTTTAACTTTATTTTAATTTTAATTTTACCAGAGGGACAAAGCGAGAGAAAGGGAGGGAAAGCAAGAAAGCAAGCCGCCAGGCCCAGGACTCAAACCACTATCAGCCATGTGGAGTCCAGCGCCCTTAACCACCATGCCACCTGCCAGCCCCTGGATGACAAACTTACTAGCTTGTCCTTGGACATGCAGCGGGCACAGTTTATGCAGCAAAAAGGCTGCACGTGGCTGTGGCCCTTTGTGGCACGACTGTTGTTTCTTTTCTCCGTTATCTTGGAAGCGAGGCTGTGACGGAAAACCAACTTCTCAATATATCTATGAATTTCTGTCCTTTAAACATTCATCAGTGTGTGTGCAGGTACACAAGACGGGACAACTTCCCACAGGGTCTGGTTTCAATGCCATCCTTCCATCCTCCAGCCTAACAGATCCTGGGCATACACATACATGCCTGGCATGCTTTAGGCTGACTGACCAGGGATGCGAACTGCACACCATGTGGGATACAGCTTCCTTTTTTGAAATAATTACTTTATTATTATTTTTGAATTTGACCAGAAAGAGAGAGAGAAAGCAAGAAAGCAGGCCACCAGGTCTGGGTCAAACTGCAGTTGGCCCTGTGGGAGTCCAGCACCTCTAGCCACCACAGCGCCTGTCAGCCTCCAATACCCCAGTACAGCTTCTCGTGAGCAGCACGTTACCACTACACCGTGGAACTGGTCCCACCTATTATGTTCTTGATTTCCAGGGCAGCAGGTGGTGTGATGGTTAAGGTACTTGGCTGCCACATAGTTGGCCACGGTTCAAGCCCTGGACCCAGCAGCTTGAAAATCATACCAAGCACATGTGCATGCATGTGTGCCTCAAATCCTGAGAATGGAAAGGGGATTGTGGTGTGGCCATCCCCCCTGGGGAGGTCCTTTCTCACTTTCTCTAGGTAGTGTCCTATATCAAAATTAAAAACAAAAAACTGCATGCATTAAAAAAATGTTGACCCACTTGTACCTTAATTTCCATTTTTCTACAAACTTTTCTTAAATGTCACTCATATGTACTCACCATAGCCACAAAGCACCTCCCAGCAGGGCATGGTCACAACATGATCCTCTTCCATTTCCCCATCCTGTCAGGATTTGGGACATGCATGCACACACATGGTTGCTTCTCAAGCCATGGGGGCCTGGATTGGAACTGCCATGTGCAACCAGGTTCCCCATGTTCAGTGTTTACGCACTGCTATGGGAGCTGGCCTAGTTGTTTTCCTGTTTATCTTGTCTCCTTGTTGTAGTCTATTCTCAAATGCCTTGGGTATCCTCAGTTGTGTTTGAAAACTGAGGCAGTTAAGCAGCAGACTGGAATCCTGCTTATCAGGACTAACAGACTGCCCTCAGGTTAACAAGGAAAGTTTGTCTTCAGGTTGAGAAACTCCCAAAAGACAAAAACAGGTTTCCTCTTCTAGACAGCAAAGCCCAGCTCCTAGGCATCCTGAATGAGTAAAGGGAGGCTGTTCTGCTCTTTTCCCCTGGGGTCGCAGCCTCCGCTCACTACAGAGTCCTGTAAGGCTGATGGTTTCCTTCCCAGTGCTTGCAAGGCTCGTGCTCTCACCACCGAATTGCTGGAATCCCAACTGCTGACAGGACCACTTCTGTGCTTGTTTGCTATCCCTCTACCACAAGAAGTATGAAGCACACGTGCAGAAGTGCAGGCCCTGTCCAGCCTCCTAGGCTACCCAACCACATCCCCACACCTCACTTCATCTTCTATTCTCTCAACATCTGCTTTTTATTTTATTTTTTTAGTTTTATGTATCTATTTACCTGTTGTGATGTTTTGGGTTATAATGGTCCAAGATTTGAACAGTGGTCAGCCACGAGTCCAGTACAACCACCATGCCTCCTTCCCCTCAATCTAATGCAGGTAACGGCTTCCCTTTCCCAGGGCTGCAGCTTCTGCTGAGCAGCCTAGTCCCCTTCATTAATTTCACACACACACCCCCCACCAAAATAGGGGTGTGAACAGCCAAGGATGTGGGGAAGGTAGAGAAGAAGGAAGATGGAAAAGGGCCTGTGGGGAACCAGCAGTTAAGTGTAATGGCTATGTCGCTGGACTCCCATGTAGTTGACCGCGGTTCGCGTCCCGGACCCGGTGGCTTAAAACTCACACTGGGCGCGTGTGCATGCGTGCCCAAGATCTCGAGAGGAGAATGGAGAGGGGACTGTGGCGTGACCATCCCCCCTGGGGGGTGATTTCTCGCTTTCTGTCTCTATGTCTCTGTCTGGCAAGCACAAGTGCCCTACAGCAAAAAAACCTCCCCTCCCCTGCCCCCCCCAAAAAAGGGCCTGGCCTGTGCAGGGTTTCCTTACCTCATTTACTTTCATTTTTTCACTCACCAGTGAGAGGAAAAGGGAGAAATCACCCACTCCCAGGGGTGGATGCAACAATTCCTTCTGCTCCATTCTCTTCCTGGGATTTTGGACAAGCATGTGTTTTAAGGGGGCTGCCAGGTGGTGTGGTGGTTAGGGCCTCTGGACTCCCACATGGCTAACCATAGTTCAAATCCGACCTGGTGGCTTGCTTTCTCACTCTTGCAATGTCATTCTCTAGTCAAAATAAGTACATTGGGACTTCCAGTTGGCGTAATGGCTATGTTGCTGGACTCCCATGTAGTGTTTGAGTCCCAGGCATGGTGGCTTTAATTCACGCCGGGCACATGTGTATGCTTGCTCAAGATCCCAAGAGGATGGGACAAGCAGTTAGCATAATGGCTATGTCACTGGACTCCCATGTAGTCAAACACAGTTCGAGTCCTGGAGCTGGTGGCTTAAACTAATGCTGGGTGCATGTGTGTGAGTGCCTAAGATCTTGAGAGGAGAATGGATTGCAGTGTGGCCATCCACCCTGGGGGGTGATTTTTTGCTTTGTCTTTCTGGAGAGCACATGTGCCTTACAGCAAAATAAATAAATAAAAGAATCAGGGACCAGCAGTTGGCATAATGGCTATGTCACTGGACTCCCACGTAGTCGACCGTGGTTCACGTCCGGGATCTGGTGGCTTAACTCACGCTGGGCGAGTGTACGTGCATGCTCAAGATCCCGAGAGAAGAGTGGAGAAGGGATTGCGGCATGGCCATCTCCCCTGGGGGGTGATTTCTCGCTTTCTATCTGTCTGTCTCTGGCAAGCGCACGTACCCCATAGCAAAAACATCTCAAAAAAAAAAAAAATAGAATCAAGCTATCTGCTGACCCCCCTTGCCCATTTTAAACAGCTGGGACACCTTCTGCCTTAGGTTACAAAGGCATACCTGAACAACTTAAAGCACAGCAGGTCTATCAAGTCAGGTGACCACTATTTGGAGGAGACATGAGAACAGCAAACAAGAAACCAAGGTGCCCACTATCAACAGGAAATTAACTTTATTTTTAAATCCAAAGGGCCAGAACAAATCATGAGACTCCTACCCTTCCTTGGAAGGCAAACTCAGTGGCCAAGAAGGACGGGGAAGAGGATGACAGCAAGGGGGTGGGTGGGGGCACGTCCAAACACAACAGCCTGAGAGGGCCTCTTCACTCTGGTGCAGCCTCCATCAAATACCCGTTTTCCGGAGCAAGATATCCGTCGCCACCCTCGGACTCCAGATACATGTCTCGACCATCATTGCCCAGACCCTCAAGCCCGTTGTCCTGGCCACCACCCCCACCCCCACCCCGGGTCTCCTCTCTGCTCCGTTCCCCACCCCGTTCCCCTCGCTTGTGCTCGCGATCACGGTCCCGGTCGCGGTCCCGGCGCCTCTCCCGCTCGCTCCGGTGGCTCCGACGTCGTTCTCGGTCACGATCTCGGCCCTTCTCCTCTGGACCATCAGGGCCGTCAGGGCCAAGCTCCCCAGGAGGCCCGTCATCAGGAGGTGCGTCACCGGCCTCAGAGGCCTCTGCCATGTCGCCGCCACCACCTCCACCACCACGCAGCTCCTCCTTGCGCTCCCGTTCTCGACGTGCTCGCTCCCGACTCCGGCTGCTCCGCCGCTTCCGGTCCCGGTCCTTATCCTTGCTTCGTTCCCTGGATCTACGCCGCTCCTCCTTGTCCCGACTCCGTGAGCGCCTCCGCCGGTCCCGAGAGCGGGAGCGTCGCCGTTCCCGTTCCTTGTCTCGATCGCGGCTTCTCTCTCTACGCTCCCGCTCCCGGTCCCGGTCCCGGTCCCTGTGTGGAAGCGGGGAGGGGCCGGGCCTGGATGAGGTGGGCAGAGGTGTGTCACAGGGCTCCCCCAGGTTACCACCCCAGCCCAGGAAACTCATTGCCCAATCTTACCTCTCATCATAGCGGGACGTGTCATCACGGCCTGAATGCCGGATATTCACGTCAGCCCCACCTCTTCTGGTGCCACCGAGGCCACCTCCTGGGGGCAGGGTGGATGAACAGAGGGTCAGTCTGGACAGGTCAGGGCCCCAAAGGAGTGAGTGAAAAGGAGTCTCAAAGCAAAAAAAATGTAATTACGGCTTCACCAAGCACCTGTATTGATGTCTCTGGGCTCATCATCACCCCAGCACTCTTGTCACAGGATAATCATGTTACAGGACAGCTATGCATTAGACATTAAATAACTTCCACAAAGTACCGTTTAGGGAACAACTTGATTAGAACCTGAGCTTGACCCCAAACTTCAAATTCATCAACACTAGGGACAATGCAGCCTCCTCTACACTAATCTCAGTGAATCTCAAGCCAGAACCTCTCTCTCTCTCTCTCTCTTTTGGAGAGATTTTTGCTATAGGGCACATGTGCTCACCAGAAAGACAGAGACAGACAGAGAGACAGAAAGCGAGAAATCATCCCCCATGAGGAACGCCCACACCGCAATCCCTTCTCCTCCATTCTCCTCTCAGGATCTTGGGCACACACGCACATGCACCCAGCGTGAGTTTAAGCCATCAGGTCTGGAACTCAAACCGTGGTCAGCTACATGGGAGCTCAGCAACAGCTATTACGCTAACAGCTGGTCCCTCTCTTCTTTCTTTCTTTAAGAGGGTTTTGCTATAGGATGCATGCACTCACCAGAAAGACAGAAACAGAGAGACAGAAAGCAAGAAATCACCCTCAAGGGGGATGGTCACGCCGCAACCAACCCCTTCTCTCAGGATCTTGGGTACACACACACGCATGCCCAGCGTGAATTTAAGCCACTAGGTCTGGGACTCAAACTGCGGTCGACTACAAGGGAGTCAAGCGACATAGCCATTACGCCATCTGCTGGTCCCCTCATCTTTTTTTTTTAAAGTTTTTTATTTAACTTTATTTATTTAATTCAATTCATTTATTTTAATTTGACCAAAAAGGGACACAAAGGGAGAGAGAAAAAGAAAAAGTGAGAAAGCAAGGCGCCAGGTCTGGGATTCAAACCATGGTCAGCCATGTGGGAGTCCAGCGCCCTTAACCACACACCACTTCTTAGGACCTTTCTATGAAACCTGTTTCTGAGCCTTTGGGGGCTTCCCTTGTCTAAAGTCCAAGCTCCTTGTCAACTGGCTGAAAGAGCCTGCCACGGCTGGCCCTTCCTTCACTCCAGCAGTCTGCCTTTCAGGCTCCTCACATTCCGCACCTTCAGCCTGCCTGTTTCTAGGCATAAGCCTCTTGTTCCTAGAATAATCTCGCCTTCCCTGTCTAGGTAACCCCTACTCAGCCTTCACGGTAGCCCAGATTATTTGCTCAGAAAGCCTTCCCCTACCTGCCAGACTATCACTCTCTACTATAGACTTACAGTTTCACACTGTCTTCTACCAAAATTTCGAACTTGGTGTTTGAGTGGAATCCTATCTGCTTCTCCCACCAGGTACTATGAAAGCAGGGATGATAATCAGGTAATGGTAATGGTGGACACGTCCTTGTCAGGTGGATAAACAAAAAACTCCAAGGAGCAGATGGTAGCCTCAGTTTTCAGGTGGGGAGACATTCTCAGATAACAGCTAACGTCACTTGCCCATAGGAACTCGCCAAAGAGGCTGCCAGTACTCTCTGTCTACAGACCTCACTCTTCCCAAGCACTCTTCTGTACTGCTTTCTTGCCTGGAAGGAGGCTTCTTTGAGTCAGGGCTGAGCTCCATATATGAAACAACTCTTTTAACGAGGGTGAGAGTGAAGAGCCTTCCTGGATATCAGGGAAAGTTGCAGACATTAAAAAACAGGAGTGGGGACCAGCAGTTAGCATAATGGCTATGTCGCTGGACTCCCACGTAGTTGACCGCAGTTCGAGTCCCAGACCTGGTGGTTTAAACTCACACCGGGCGCGTGTGCGTGCGTGCGTGCCCAAGATCCCGAGAGGGGAAGGGATTGCGGCGTGGCCATCCCCCCTGGGGGCTGATTTCCTGCTTTCCGTCTCTCTATCTCTCTGTCTGGCAAGCCCACGTGCTCTATAGCAAAAACCTCTCAAAAGAAAACAACAACAACAACAAAAACAAAAAACAAAAAACAAAAAAACAGAGATCAAGCAACTGACTGTGGACCTGGAGTGTCTGTCATAGGCGCGGGTCAACCAGACTAGTGTTTTTCAAGTTCCAGATCCTGACCCACACATGGGTTATACCATCAATATGGAAATCAACACCTTAAAGAATGTAAGAAAAACACAGCCTACGGGCTGGTGGGTGGTGTGGTGGTTAAGGGCACTAGACTCCAGCATAGCCGACTGCGATTTGAGTACTGGACCTGCTGGCTTCCCTTCTTTCTTACTTTCTCTCTCTCTCACTGTCCCTTTCTGGTCAAATTAAAATAAAATAAATAAGGTTAAATAATTTTTTTTAGAGATTTTTGCTATAGGGCATGTGCGCTCGCCAGACAGAGAGACAGAAAGTGAGAAATCACCCCCCAGAGGGGATGGCCACACCGCAATCCCTTCTCCATTCTCCTTTGGGGATCTTGGGCACACACGCACACGCACCCGGCGTGAGTTTAAGCCACCGGGTCCAGGACTCGAACCGCAATTGACTACATGGGAGTCCAGTGACATAGTCATTACGCTAACTGCTGGTCCCAATAAAATAATTCTTAAAAAAAAAAAAGAAAGATGGGGCCATCAGGTGACGTGGTGGTTAAGGACACTGGACTCCTTGGCCGCCTGCAGTTTGAGTCCTAGACCTGGTGGCTTGCTTTCTCATTTTGCCTCTCTCTCTGGTCAAATTAAAATAAAGTTAAATAAAATATTTAAAAAGAAAGAAACACAACCCAGCTGCAGTGGTGCAAGCAGTAGGGTGCTACTGCACAACACTAGAGCCACACAGGAGGCCAGGGTCTGGATCCAGGATGAACCTGAACATGCCACCCTGCTATCCCAGCTGGCTAAGGGAGGATCGTATGGCAAGACCCGATCAGGCACCTCTCAATCAAATACCTTAAGACACATAAAGCAGAGTCTAACACTATGTACCAGATGAAGAAAATATACGGCTTCATATAATTTGTGTTTGGGTTGTACATGTCCCTACACTAGGTTCTGGCTAACACTATTAAAAGTCTGAATGCCAACCAAACTGGAAAATCCTGAGAGTCCAAGATTTCCCCACAATAGGAATACCAGAGCCTTAAGAACCCATTTCACATGTGCTCACCAGAAAGACAGAGACAGACAGAGAGACAGAAAGCGAGAAATCATCCCCCAGGGGGAACGACCACACCGCAATCCCTTCTCCTCCATTCTCCTCTCAGGATCTTGGGCACACACGCACATGCACCCAGCGTGAGTTTAAGCCATCAGGTCTGGAACTCAAACCGTGGTCAGCTACATGGGAGCTCAGCAACAGCTATTACGCTAACAGCTGGTCCCTCTCTTCTTTCTTTCTTTAAGAGGGTTTTGCTATAGGATGCATGCACTCACCAGAAAGACAGAAACAGAGAGACAGAAAGCAAGAAATCACCCTCAAGGGGGATGGTCACGCCGCAACCAACCCCTTCTCTCAGGATCTTGGGTACACACACACGCATGCCCAGCGTGAATTTAAGCCACTAGGTCTGGGACTCAAACTGCGGTCGACTACAAGGGAGTCAAGCGACATAGCCATTACGCCATCTGCTGGTCCCCTCATCTTTTTTTTTTAAAGTTTTTTATTTAACTTTATTTATTTAATTCAATTCATTTATTTTAATTTGACCAAAAAGGGACACAAAGGGAGAGAGAAAAAGAAAAAGTGAGAAAGCAAGGCGCCAGGTCTGGGATTCAAACCATGGTCAGCCATGTGGGAGTCCAGCGCCCTTAACCACACACCACTTCTTAGGACCTTTCTATGAAACCTGTTTCTGAGCCTTTGGGGGCTTCCCTTGTCTAAAGTCCAAGCTCCTTGTCAACTGGCTGAAAGAGCCTGCCACGGCTGGCCCTTCCTTCACTCCAGCAGTCTGCCTTTCAGGCTCCTCACATTCCGCACCTTCAGCCTGCCTGTTTCTAGGCATAAGCCTCTTGTTCCTAGAATAATCTCGCCTTCCCTGTCTAGGTAACCCCTACTCAGCCTTCACGGTAGCCCAGATTATTTGCTCAGAAAGCCTTCCCCTACCTGCCAGACTATCACTCTCTACTATAGACTTACAGTTTCACACTGTCTTCTACCAAAATTTCGAACTTGGTGTTTGAGTGGAATCCTATCTGCTTCTCCCACCAGGTACTATGAAAGCAGGGATGATAATCAGGTAATGGTAATGGTGGACACGTCCTTGTCAGGTGGATAAACAAAAAACTCCAAGGAGCAGATGGTAGCCTCAGTTTTCAGGTGGGGAGACATTCTCAGATAACAGCTAACGTCACTTGCCCATAGGAACTCGCCAAAGAGGCTGCCAGTACTCTCTGTCTACAGACCTCACTCTTCCCAAGCACTCTTCTGTACTGCTTTCTTGCCTGGAAGGAGGCTTCTTTGAGTCAGGGCTGAGCTCCATATATGAAACAACTCTTTTAACGAGGGTGAGAGTGAAGAGCCTTCCTGGATATCAGGGAAAGTTGCAGACATTAAAAAACAGGAGTGGGGACCAGCAGTTAGCATAATGGCTATGTCGCTGGACTCCCACGTAGTTGACCGCAGTTCGAGTCCCAGACCTGGTGGTTTAAACTCACACCGGGCGCGTGTGCGTGCGTGCGTGCCCAAGATCCCGAGAGGGGAAGGGATTGCGGCGTGGCCATCCCCCCTGGGGGCTGATTTCCTGCTTTCCGTCTCTCTATCTCTCTGTCTGGCAAGCCCACGTGCTCTATAGCAAAAACCTCTCAAAAGAAAACAACAACAACAACAAAAACAAAAAACAAAAAACAAAAAAACAGAGATCAAGCAACTGACTGTGGACCTGGAGTGTCTGTCATAGGCGCGGGTCAACCAGACTAGTGTTTTTCAAGTTCCAGATCCTGACCCACACATGGGTTATACCATCAATATGGAAATCAACACCTTAAAGAATGTAAGAAAAACACAGCCTACGGGCTGGTGGGTGGTGTGGTGGTTAAGGGCACTAGACTCCAGCATAGCCGACTGCGATTTGAGTACTGGACCTGCTGGCTTCCCTTCTTTCTTACTTTCTCTCTCTCTCACTGTCCCTTTCTGGTCAAATTAAAATAAAATAAATAAGGTTAAATAATTTTTTTTAGAGATTTTTGCTATAGGGCATGTGCGCTCGCCAGACAGAGAGACAGAAAGTGAGAAATCACCCCCCAGAGGGGATGGCCACACCGCAATCCCTTCTCCATTCTCCTTTGGGGATCTTGGGCACACACGCACACGCACCCGGCGTGAGTTTAAGCCACCGGGTCCAGGACTCGAACCGCAATTGACTACATGGGAGTCCAGTGACATAGTCATTACGCTAACTGCTGGTCCCAATAAAATAATTCTTAAAAAAAAAAAAGAAAGATGGGGCCATCAGGTGACGTGGTGGTTAAGGACACTGGACTCCTTGGCCGCCTGCAGTTTGAGTCCTAGACCTGGTGGCTTGCTTTCTCATTTTGCCTCTCTCTCTGGTCAAATTAAAATAAAGTTAAATAAAATATTTAAAAAGAAAGAAACACAACCCAGCTGCAGTGGTGCAAGCAGTAGGGTGCTACTGCACAACACTAGAGCCACACAGGAGGCCAGGGTCTGGATCCAGGATGAACCTGAACATGCCACCCTGCTATCCCAGCTGGCTAAGGGAGGATCGTATGGCAAGACCCGATCAGGCACCTCTCAATCAAATACCTTAAGACACATAAAGCAGAGTCTAACACTATGTACCAGATGAAGAAAATATACGGCTTCATATAATTTGTGTTTGGGTTGTACATGTCCCTACACTAGGTTCTGGCTAACACTATTAAAAGTCTGAATGCCAACCAAACTGGAAAATCCTGAGAGTCCAAGATTTCCCCACAATAGGAATACCAGAGCCTTAAGAACCCATTTCTGGGACCAGCAGGAGGAATGATGGTTAAGAACGCTGGACTCTCACCCACATGCTGACCACGGTTCGAGTCCTATATCTAGCAGCTTGCCTTCTCATTCTCCCCACTTACTCCATCCCTTCTCTGGCCAAATTAAAATAAACAAACAAGCTTAAATAATTTTTAGGGGAAAAAAAGTAACCTACTCCCACTCCCACTCCGAGAAACCACAGTACAGTAAGAACTTGCCTACTCAGTCCAGAGACCCAACAGATGCACATGTTCAGACCAGCACAGTCAAGTGGAAAGGGAAAACGGACAGCTCAGGAGGCAGAAGCAGAAGTGGAGGGTAGTGACCACTACCTGGGGTATCTGCCCAGGAACGATCTGTCCTCTTGGTCTCATCAAAGTCACTTCTCAATAGACATCCAGGGAAGACAGGATCTCAGCTCAAATCCAGACCCACACTGAGCGGATTAGATGGGTCTACTCTGAAGTAAAGAGACCTGCCCAGGACCGAGTGGCAGGGAGGTGTACCATGCCACCTGGGGCAGTGCAAGAAGACACAAGAGGTTGGTCCGCCTGGACAGAACACAGGCAGAGCCATGCTGCAGGATACCAGGGATGGGCTGTCCCCGCTCCTGATAGCTGGAGGGTTCACTACCAGGTCTCTCTGAGGTCCACCAGCATCACATGCTTTTGGACTCAAAGACACCCACGATCCTAAGCCAACAAGCCCTTTGTGTTTCAGGAAGTTCAAATGTATTTCTTTCTTTTTAGAGAGAGGTTTTTGCTAAAGGGCGCGTGTGTTAGCCAGAAAAGACAAGAGACAGAAACCGAGAAATCACCCCCCGGCAGGATGGCCACACTGCAACCCCTTCTCCTCCATTCTCCCCTTCTCCTCCATTCTCCTCTTGGGATCTTGGGCACACATGCACACACGCCTAGCCTGAGTTTAAGTCACCAGACCTGGGACTCGAACCATGGTCAACTACATGGGAGTCCAGAGACATAGCCATTACGCCAACTGCTGATCCTGCTCAATGTATTTCTGATACTTGCAACCAGAGACGGGCTGAGATAGTGAGTGACAACTGGACAGGCAGTGAGGACTATGGAAGGAGGCTCAGAGGGCAGGGCTGCCTGTGTCCTGCTCCTGACTAGAAGCTGGTACGCAGCTGGCAGTCGAAGTGGCAGTCGCTGAATCAACGGGTCAAAGAACACACAGTAAGAGCAAATGAGCAGAGCACAAGTGAGTGAGCAAGTGACACTGATAAGCCCCACCACGTGCCACCACGCAAGCTGGGCACCTGGTACGTTGAGCTCAGTGAACTCTGAGGGCATCCCCTCAGCCTAAGAGAGTAAACAGGGCACAAAAGGGGAAACCCACCGACTGGTAAGTATACAGGCCTGCCCCTGGGCCTGCCCAGCCTCCCGAGGCCAGTGCCCTTGCTTCTCATCAGCAGCTCAGACAAAGGAAAAGGATACCAGAAACAGGAGGGTGATGAAGAAGATAAGATGGAACAGAGGGAGGATGATTTGCCAAATGGGCAAACAGCGGGAAAATAAGCAAGCAGCAGAGGCTGGGCGAGAACGAGGTCCCCAAGCACCCAGTGTGGACAGGACGTGCTCACCTAGCCGCCGGGGCCTCCAGCCCTTCACAGTTCTGCCCCTTTCCACATCCACCAGGACCCTCCTGCCATCGATCTTCTTGCCGTCTGCGTGCTTGTAAGCGGCTGCAACAGATGTGGGAGAGGGGAGGGGAAGAGTCCCCAGAAGACCCTCTAGTCAGGACAGAGCCCAGCTCTGCAGATCCCCACCCCACATGTCCCCATCATTGCACACGCGCACGCGCACACGCACACACCCACCAGACAGCCAGGCAACTGACAGCCAGACCCACCCTCTCCCAAACCGGTGAGAGGCCTGCTCCATCTCATGCCTGCTTCCTGCTTAGCGACACCCCGTCACTGGGGGGCAAGACATCCACCCCACCACCAAGCCCCTGGCTCCCAGGGCCTTCCTACTCCCACGATGGAGCAGCCCCCTCCTACCAGGGAGGCCAAAGTCGCTGCAAAGAAACCGGAGGTTAACTCAATGCTGGACTCTGCTGTGGGGAGGGGGCTCCTCCACAACCCCAGGCATGCACCCTAAAACATCATGCTGGGGCAGGAGGCCCAGCAGAGCAACTCTGTACCCCAGTTCACACCAGTTTTTTCTGTGTGGTTTTTTTGGGGGGAGAGGGTGAGTGTTGGGGGAACAGACATCAGAACAGAAAATGAACCAGAAGGGGATGGGAGAAGTCTTTAGGACACGGCAGGGAGCAGAAAGGAAGCCTATGTGCTCCCAGGGGGCCTGGAAGGGCCCCCACAGCAGGGAGAGAGGGGAAGTGGGGGCATCCTGGGGAAGACGTGCGGTGCTGCTGAGAATCCCTGCCTTACCTGAGACAGCTGACCCTGCGCTCCTGCCCCCATCTCTCCCTCCACACCCCTGCTCAACACATGCTGGGGGCCACCCCAGCCTGAGCCTGTCAGGGAAGGGTGAGGAGCAGAGGAGGAGATGGGGGAGAGGCTGCGGCTACTCTTTGGCAGGACGCAGCAAAGGGCAAGCCCTGTGACCTGGCCTGCATTCATGGGTGGGGGGGACCTACACCATGGAGGGCCACCAAGAAGCCAAAAAGTTCCTGTTCCCACCCCTGACCCTGGCCTAAGGGGCTGTGCTCAACCAACCACAATACCCTGCCCCACCCCAGCCCGCTCCCCCCCAAATAACAACCAGAGGAAGAGAAAAAGGTGCCATTTACCGATGCCGGCCTTGCGGGTGTCCAAACCGAGCGGGATGGGGGGGGCTCGGCAACTCCTGGGGGCCTGGCGCAGAGGCGGGCTTCCCGGGGGGGGGACACGGGACCGCTTACCTGGAGCCCCCAAGCTTACCTGAGCACGCGCACAGACCCCACACCCACCACCATAGGATCAACTAAAGCTACAGGGGAGGGGAATGGGGGGTTCTAGGAAGCCCCAAAAGGGAAAAGAACACATCTCCTGCACCACCCGGAGACAAGTGGGGGAAGTGCTGGACCACAGCACCTCCTGGAGGCCTCCAAGAGGAGGGGACCAAAGATTAACATCAAATCCAGGGGCTGGAAAGTCCTAGGACTACCCTCTTCAATTTAAAAAGGCGGGGGTGGGGGGTGCCTTAGCAAACCTGCCGCCCTTGCCACTCCCCAACAAAGACCACACGAAACCAGGCACGCACCCCGTCCCTCCTAGCACCTGGATGACTCCTCCACCTCCACGCACTCCCGCCCGCCTGCTGGTCCAGCCGGAAGGCTGGCACGCAGGTACAGACCACAGGGCACAGGCTTGGGAGTCTAGAAGGTGGAGTCCGCCCAAGCTCCCAGAGGAGGGGCCGCTTGGCCCCTGAACCCAGAAGGTGGCCAGGGAAAGAAGTTAAGGACGGGCATCTCAGTCGAGCAGAGGAACCCTGCTCAGGCTCGGTCTCCCAAACCCCAGAAGAGGCCCAACCCGAGGAGCAGCAAAGAAACATGTGAGCGCACCTGTCCAGGCTTCACGCTGTCTCTCCTTCCCTCTCTAAATCTCTAGATTGTGGAAGGTTCTTAAGTGAAAATCTACAGCTGTGTGCAGCCTGCCTCTGGCCCTCCCACACCCCAAGCCCCAGTTCCATGCACTTGGGGAGGGGGCTCCTGATCAGCTCTTGAGAGAGGCTGGGCACCGCCAGACCCCTTGGGAGGTCTCAACCATGCTAAGGAAACATGAGGGCAGAGTACCCCAAAACGAGCCAGAAAGACTCTCCAGGGCCCCCAGTGATAGCCCCACAGAAGGAGCGAAGGGTTAAAGGGTTCCACACAGAACCCTGGCCCCCGTGCACCCCATCTTCATTACTGCTGCCGTCACATTGCTGATGTCAGGAAGCCAGGAGGGTCAGGGTCCAGGTGAAGCCCTACTGGAGAGGCCAGCTGCCTTTACCTTTGGGGTTCACCCTGCCCCTCCTGGGACCGGTAAGATTATCAGAGTGTATGGATCGGGGATGGGAGGGGCAAGGGCACCCAAACAAGGAAAGGGCTGTGGGTGCAGGGAGGCTGAGGGGCGGCTGGGGGTGGGGAGGCCTCGCTGCTCCTGAGCTGCCTGGCTAAGCTGGGCTGTGTGCGGTGCTGAGTGATCTTACCCATGATACAAACCCTTATACCAACCATACACTGAGGTGTTGTAAGGGGAGCGTAAGCATCAGCTGCAAGCCAGCTGCGTGGTGGCTGCAGTGACAATAAGAACAGTCAATTAATACGGCGGCCCCTGGACACGCCGCAGCCCTGCCCACATGGACGCCGCCGCAGCCTCAAAGGGAGCTTGGGAGCTGTGGGGGCAGGTGCTGAGCACGCCTGCCACTCCACTGCCCACTAAGGAGCAGGGTGGGGGCCGGGGGGAGGTGAAGGGTCAGGTGGCCCAGCCCCAACTCTACTGAGGGGAGGGAGAGGGCAGGTTCAAAGGCCAGTCCTCATTCCAACCTGGGTGTCCCCAACACTGGTGGGGGAAAAGTGGGGAGAGGCTCCCCAAGAATCCGACCCCTCCCCCCCACCTCCAGCTGGCCCCAGCCCCCATCCAGTTCCCTCCTTGCCCCTGAGGTTCAACGTGTGAGACTTACCTCCCCGGGTTCACACACACACACGTTGTGGGGGATTTGGTTTTTGTTTTTTTTTAAAAAACACGTATATAAAAAAAAAAAGATATATCAGAAACAGAGGGAGGAGGAGAAGAGACACAGCAAATGTCAAGTGTGGCGGTGGGGGGAGGGGGACAGACACAGGGAAGGGTTGGGGGCAGAAGGGAGAGAGGGCAGAGGGCTGGGCCGAGGTGAGGGACTCACAGTGCATGTCTCGCTCATGCTCGTATTCGATGAAGGCGTAGCCCCGGGGCTTTCCTGACCGCTTACTGTAGACCATGTGTATCTGCGGGGCAGGTGGGGGCAAAGGTCAGTCAGGGACAGATGTCCGCCACCCCAGAGAAACCACCCACCAGGCACACAGCTGGCATGCCCAGCCCTGGGTGACACAGGCTTCAGACCCTCCTTCTGTCCTTCCAGAGCCCCATTTATGCTGTCGTGGCCGAGCAAACACCACAGTGGAAACCAGAGGGGTAGAGAGGTGGCTTCTTGATGGAAAAGACTTCATTCTGAAGCCTGAAGAATGAACAAGGATAGGGGCTGGCGGGTGGCATGGTGGTTAAGGTGCTGGATTCTCACAAGGCCAACTGCCGTTCAAGTCCCAGACCAGGCGGCTTGCTTTCTCGCTTTACCTTTCTCTCTGCCTCTCTCTCTGGTCAAATAAGGAAAAATAACAAGAGGTAAATAATTCTTTAAAAAGAATTAACAAGGGAGCAGTGAGGTGTCAGCTTGTCCTGGAGAGCAGCAGAGAGGCTGGAGACGCAGAATGGCAGGATGGGGACTGAGCCTCAGGAGGCCACACAGGCAGCCAGGGGCAGGGACATTAAGTCCCCAGGTGAGGCCGAGAAGCTGGCCTCTGAGAGACCGAGAGGGCCACGGCGGGCAGTCCACGTGGAGTCGAGAGGGAACATGGGGCTGGGTAACACAGGTCTGCGTGCCAGCCAGGCAAGGGCTCGAGGGCAGAGAAGGGAAGGGCCCAAGTGGACAACCAGCACATGCAGAGCACAGCAGCCTGGCGAGCACGGGAAGGATGGCTCTCAGTGCAGGATGGCACAGGGATGGGGAAGGACCAGCTACAGCAAGAGGCCCTCTGTCCACATAAGCTGGGGAACCACGGAGGCTGTGCACAGAAGAGATGGGGCAAGACCCCGCTGAGACCATGTGTGGACAGTCCAGCAACAGAATAATGCTCCAGGAAGTGCTACTGGGACAAAATAAACCAAGGAAGGCTTCTAGGAGGCAATACATTGGCTGGTTTCCAGACAATGGCTAGTTCTCCATTCTCATCACTACTGCTCAGTGACAGACTGGGTTCTAGAACTTGAACTCTGGGATTCCATACCCTCAGATTGCAGACTGACTCTAAGTGGTTTGGCAGGAACAGGGTCAGGGTCAGACTCCATCAAAGGCGTTAAACACCAAGAGCAGGAGAATAGCAGAAGGCATAATGGTTATATCGCTAGACTCCCATGTAGTCAACGACAGTTTGAGTCCTGGACCCGGTGGCTTAAAACTCATGGCCAGGTGTGTGTGCATGTGTGCCCAAAATCCCAAAAGGAGAATGGAGAAGGAATTGTAGCTTGGTCATCCCCCCGGAGGGTGATTTCTCACTTTTTGATTCTCTGGCAAAGCACACATGCCCTATAGCAAACATCTCTGTAAAAAACAAAAAAGAAACAAACAAACAAACAAACCACCAGGGTATCAATTCCTACGAGACCCTGGGCCCACAGAGAGGCCAGTCTGAGTGAAGGAGGACTTCAAGCCCTTACTACTGCTCCATGGGAGATGAAATAAGGCATGCAGCATCCAAATGAAGAAGTGTCACTTAAACACAGAGCCTTGCTCTGCAACATGGGTTGGCAGGTACCCCTGCTCAGAGGACCAGACAGTAGGCATTTCCAGCCTGGAGGGCCACACAGCACCTGCGGCAACTTCCCAGCCCCACCTTATAGCAACAGCAGACAGGTGAGCACAGTGTGCCTGCCTGACCTGTACCTGAAACTTCATTTATAAACAATACAGCTCTCACTCCAAATCAACAGCCGTTACTTCTCTCTCTCTCTCTTTTCCAATTTGCCAGTGTGTGTGCTTACCAGAGACAGAGGGAGAGTCAGAAAGCACCCTGCCATGGGGCATTGTTATGCCACAACCCCTCCTCCTCCACCTCTCCCCCTCTTTGTGATTTTGGGCACACATACGTGCTCACCATGGTTCACAAAGTGCTGGGTCCAGAACTCAAACTGCACTGTTGGCCACGTGGGGATCTAGACATCTCAAACACCAGACCACTGGCAGGCCCACTTTTCTTTCTTTTCAGAGGGCTTTGCTATGCCATGACCTGCCTCAGGCTCTCAAACAGCTAGGACTGCAGGCATGTGCCCACTATATTTTTAAGATGGGCCCCAAATAGAACCTGGGCCTCCTGTGCAGCTGCAGCCTGGCAGGTAGCAGTGTCAACTAGCTACGTGGCTGGGCCTCACGTCACATTGCCTCTAACTACCCAAGACCTGCTGTGTGTAAATGCCAAGCCCTAGGATGACCCGAAGGGTCCTCAGGGTTTGAGTCTAGCCTTCTCCCTCCCTTCCAGGCTACCACCCCCTCCATGCACCCCCAAACCAAAGACCCTTGCCCTGACACACTCACTCTTTTGATGGGTCCATACACCTCGAACTCTCTTCGGAGCTTGGATTCTGTTGTGTCATAATTCTACAAGGAGACAGACATAACGTTAAAGGGGAGAGGGAAGTTATCCCAGAACCCTTGGAATTGCCCCAGGACCTCTGCCCACCGTCCTTTGTCCCACACCCAGCTCCCGGCAGCCTGGGCTTCCAGGGATGGAGAGCTGGGACTTACCACTCTAGCCACAAACAGAGTCTTGAAGGCATCACCCTGAGCATTGGGATCATTGTGAGGGTCCCCTGTGCAGGGAGAAGAGCATCTGTAAGACGAGGACTACAGTCTGGGAAGCAAGTCTTGGGGAACAAGGAGCGCTCCAAAAGCTAGGCCTTCAACAAGCAGCAATATGAGCAAGGCAGACAGACAAAGGGACTGAGGCCAAGAAGACAGAATAGGACAACAGTTGGTGACCTTGGGCATGACCCTCTGAACCTTGGTTCCCCTGAATTCACACCCATCGTGGGCTGTCAGAGTGGCTGACCAACAATGACTCGAGCTGACGGTAAGTGGCAGGCGGAGGAGTCTCCTGAGGGCCCCACCTCTCTCAGATAGAGGTGATCCAAGAAGTAACAGGACCCGCCTGAGCTCAGCTTTGGAGAGGCGGCTGGTCAGCACTCCAGGTGCTGCAGTTCCTCTCCTCACACAGGGCCACACTGCCACCCACTGGACACAGACTGCAACTACAACCCATGAGGAAACTAGCCCAGGTAACCGGAAGACAGGGAATGGGAGGAGAAAAGAGGAAAGCCCCACCACACCCCTGCTTTCTCCTCTGTGCCCTGTGACCTGTAGCCTCTGGAAGGGAGCCAGGGCTGCTGCTGGAATAAAAAGGAGGGACTGGCTGGCTTAGATCAGATTACTGCAGCCTGCTACTTCAGGGCGAACAACTGCCCTATTCCTCTACTGGTATTCCTCGGGCCACCAAGGAATACCAATCCCCACAGAGGAACCCAGAATCTATTTAAAAAAAAAAATTCTGGCCAGCCTTGAAGTACAGGATGTGGGGTTCCACTGTGATGCTGGAATGAGATGGGGAGGCCTGGGGTTTGGATTCTGGGTAAACTAAACACACCAGATATGTCTATAGTCCTAGGCTGGGGGAGGACCTGTTGGGTTCTCTTCCTTTCTCATTAAATAAACAAACTTCATGGGACCAGCAGTTGGTGTAATAGCTCTGTCGCTGGATTCCCATGTAGCCAACTGCAGTTCGAGTTCCAGATCCGGTTGCTTACACTCACGCCAGGCACATGTGCGTGCGTGCCCAGAGTCCCTAGAGGAGAATGGAGAAGGGATTGTGGCATGGCCATCCCCCTGGGAAGTGATTTTTCGCTTTCTGTCTCTCTGTCTTTCTGGCAAGCACATGTGCCCTATAGCAAAAACCTCTCCAAATAAATAAATAAATGAACAAACCAACCAAGGACCTCCATCCACTATTTCATAGGCTGTTACGGGTTATGATGGGTCAGGTTTGGGAATGAGTCCTTTCCCCAAATATGCAGGCCCCAGCATACCTAACGGTCTCCCTCCTGCCAGGGCCCTAGAGACATTCTGCTCACTGCCTAGGGGAGGCGTTTGTCTGAGCAGTGTTGCCCTCAGAGGGCCAGCCACTCTGGGAGGACCAGAAGAAACGTGTTAAATCTTTTGCTGAGCACACGCCATGGCCCAGACACGGTGCTCGATGCTGAGGTGTACCCGTCACCACTTTGCAAATGGAAGCAAAACAAATCAAACCTGAGACAGTAAAAGGGAAGGTCACTGGTCAGGTGTCAGGGTGCCGACAGGCAGGCTGTATACTTCCATTTGGCCTCACAGCCAAGCATCCTAACATCTGGATGACAGTGTTGCAAGAAACCAGAAAAGAAAGTCTCAGACCTGGTTCCTACTAAAAGGTTTAGCTATAAATAGGAGCTAATTAAGAAATTTCTATTTATTGTTTATCTTAATTTAAGAGGTTTTTTTTTTTTTTTTTTTTGAGAGGTTTCTAATATAGGGCACATGCGCTCACCAGAAAGACAGAGAGAGACAGAGAGACAGAAAGTGAGAAATCACCCCCTGGGGGGATGGCCACGCCGCAATCTCTTTTCCTAAATTCTCCTCTCGGGATTTTAGGCACGCGTACATTATTCGCCCAGCATGAGTTCAAGCCACTGGGTCTGGGATTCGAACGATGGTCAACCACATGGGAGTTCAACAACATAGCTATTACACTAACTGCTGGTCCCAATTTTAGAGGTTCTATTTGTTTAAAAACAAAAAAAGAGAGGGTTTTTTTTTTTTTTTTTTTTTTGCTATAGAGAACATGCACTCGCTGGAGAGACAAAAAGAGAGACAGAGAAAGTGAGAATCACCCCCCGCCCAGGGGTGATGGCCAAACCCTTCTTTTCTCTGGATTTTGGGCATGCACGCACATGCGCTCAGCCTGAGTTTTAAGCTGCCAGGTCCAAAACTCGAACCATGGTCAACTATGTGGGAGTCCAGCAACATAACCATTACAACCATCTGCTTGTCCCCCGGCATGAGTTTTAGGCCACCAGGTCCGGAACCATGACTGAGTATGTGGGAGTCCAGCAATGTGACCACTACAGCATCTGCTAGTCCCAGTTCTTTAAAGGTTTTAATGTTAGGGCATGTGCACTCGCCAGGGAAGAAGAAAGACAGAAACAGCAGAAAGCGAGATCACCACCTATGGGGGATGGCCATAACTCAATCCCTTCTCTTCCATTCTCTTGGATACACACGACCCACATGAATTTTTCTTTAGAGTTATTTAACTTTATTTATTCATTCATTTCATTTTAATTTGACCAAAGAGGGACAGAGAGAGGAGAGAAAAAGTGAGAGAATAAGCTGTCAGGTCCGAGACTTGAACTGTGGTCAGCCATGTGGGAGTCCTATGCCCTTAGCCACCACGCCACCAGCTGCCCATGACCAGCATGATTTTTAAGTCACCAGGTCCAAGACTCAAAGGGCAGCCAGGCATGTGGGAGTACAGCAACCTAGCTGCTACATCATCTGCTGATCCCAGGAAATTTATTTATTTATTATTTTTACTTCACTTTATTTCATTTTAATGGGGGAGAGGGAAAAGGAGAGAAAGAGAGATAGAAAGAGAGGAAGCAAGCAAGCTGCCAAGTCCAGTACTAGAACTGCAGTTGGCCATGTGGGAGTCCAGTGCCCTTAACCACCACACCACCTGCCATCGCATCCCCCCCCCGAAATGTATTTCTTTTTTTTGGAGAGGTTTTTGCTTTAAGGGCATGTGCGCTCGCCAGAAAGAGAGAGAGAGAAAGAGAGACAGGAAGCAAGAAATCACCCCCAAGGGGGGAAGGCCATGCCGCAATCCCTTCTCTCAGGATCTTGGGCACACACACACGCGCCCAGTGTGAGTTTAAGCCGCCGGGTCTAGGACTCAAACCACGGTCGACTACATAGGAGTCCAGCAACATAGAAATTACACTAACTGCTGGTCCCCCCTGGAAATTTCTTAAAAAGCAAAGCTTGGGGGCCAGGAGGAGGTGTGGTGGTTAAGGTGCTAGACTCCCACAGGGCCAAATGAAGTTCAAGTACCAGATCTGGTAGCTCGTTTTCTCATTTTTCTCTTCTCTATGGATAAATTTTAAAAAGTAGTAATAGCAAATGATATTAAACAAGTAAGTAATTCTTAGGGGAAAAAAAAGCAAAACATGGGGACCAGCAGGTGGCGTGGTGGTTAAGGCATTGGACACTCCCACATGGCTGACCACAGTTCAAGTCCTGGACCTGGTAGCTTGCTCTCTCACTTTCTCTCTCTCTCTCTGTGTCTATCTCTGGTCAAATTAAAATAAATGAATGAGGGAACCAGCAGTTAGCGTAATGGCTATGTCGCTGGACTCCCACGCAGTCGACTGCGGTTCGCGTCCCGGACCCGGTGGCTTAGAACTCACGCCGGGCGCGTGTGCGTGCGTGCCCAAGATCCCGAGAGGAGAATGGAGGAGAAGGGATTGCGGTGTGACCATCCCCCCGGGGGGTGATTTCTCGCTTTCTGTCTCTGTCTGTCTCTGTCTGGCGAGCGCACGCACCCTATAGCGAAAATCTCTCCAATAAATAAATAAATAAATAAATAAAACTAAATAAATCTTAAAAAATACATTTTTTAAAAAAAGCAAAACATGGGAACCAGCAGTTAGCGTAATGGTTATGTCGCTGGACTCCCACACAGTCAACTGCGGTTCGCGTCTCGGACCCGGTGGCTTAAATCTCATGCTGGGCGCGTGTGCGTGCGTGCCCAAGATCCCGAGAGGAGAATGGAGGAGAAGGGATTGCAGCGTGACCATCCCCCCGGGGGGTGATTTCTTGCTTTCTGTCTCTATGTCTCTCTCTGTCTGGCGAGCGCATGCACCCTATAGCGAAAACCTCTCAAAAAAAAAAAAAAAAGCAAAACATGAGCCCAACTTTAAGGGAAATCCAGGGACTGAATCCTTTGAAGACACTCCATCTTTGTATCCCTCTAACCAAGGCCATCCCTCATCCATGTTAGTTTTCTGGGCCCAGGTCTCTTGACATGCACTGCCTCAGCCTCAATCTCTCAACCTGCCAGCAGGTAGTTACTGAGTACCTACAAGGTGCTTGAAACTGCTGAAAGTTGGGATTTGGCAGTAAAAGACAAAAGACACCTCCCTTTAAAGAGCTCCTATGCCAACAGAGGGACTCAATGGAAATAAGGAGGTTGCATAACTATATCAAATAATGACAAGAGGTAGGAAGAAGAGGTGATTTTTAAAATTTAATTTTATTCATTGTCATTATTATTATTATTATTTTTAAGTTGACCACAGAGACAAAGAAGAAAATGAGAAAGTAAGCTGCCAGGTCCGGGATTTGAACTGTGCTCAACATGTGGGAGTTTAGCTGCCTTAACCACCACGCCACCTGCTGGCCCAATTTCTTATTTTTTTGAGAGATTTTTGCTATAGGGCATGAGTGCTCACTGGACAGACAGAGAGAAAGTGAGAACCCGCCCCCCCCCCGGGGTGTTGGCCACACTGTAATCCCCTCTCCTCCATTCTCCTCTCGGGATTTTGGACACGTGCACACACGCACCTGGACTGAGTGGACTGAGTTTTAAATTGCTGGTTCTGGGACCTGAACTGCGGTCAACTCTGTGGGAGTCCAGGACATAACCATTACACCGTCGGCTGGTCCCAGAAGAGTTGACTTTTAAATGGGAAGGTTAGGAAGGACTCACTGGGATGGTGACACATGACTGAAGACCTGAAAGTATCACAGCAGCAGGTCTAACAGTCCTGTGGGAGCAGTGAGACCATGAATGCTACCTGAGGGAGTGCACAAAGGCCAAACATGAGATGAACTTTCTGACTGGCAGCCTAAAGATGCACAGCAGAAAAGGGTGAACTCCAGGACCAGCAGTTAGCGTAATGGCTATGTCGCTGGACTCCCATGTAATCGACTGCGGTTCAAGTCCTGGACCTGGTGGCTTAAACTCACGCCAGGTGCACGTGTGTGCATGCCCAAGATCCTGAGAGGAGAATGGAGAAGGGATTGCAGCGTGGCCATCCCCCCTGGGGAGTGATTTCTCGCTTTCTGTCTGTCTCTCTCTGTCTTTCTGGCGAGTGCATGCAACCTATAGCAAAAACCTCTCAAAAAAAAAAAAAAAAACAGACAGACAAGGGGGAACCCCTTCCTCCTTGTAGTTCTTGTTTGTCCAAGAAGCCCAGTGCAGTCAAGGCAAGGTACTTACCGAAGTACCTGAAGAAAGACCACGTTAGCAGAAAGGGTGGCAAGGAGTTCACGCTGCCAGTGGCCCAGTCAGTGTATGCAAGCATGCAGGCTGTGTCCCACTCTGCAGGGGGCCCATCCTTACGAAATCCTTGTTAAAGGGCTTAACCTGCCCACAACAGAGGCTCAAAAGACAGGACCAAGGAGTTGAGAACCCCCATTAGGCTTTCAGATACTCAAAGAGTATCTCAGAATTCTCGCTGTCAGCAGTCAAACCTCGACAACCTATTTTTCATCTCGAGACTGGGAGTAACTGGGGCTAGGTGGCTGCACAGTGGTAATGCAGCTGAACCCACATGGGAAAGATCCTGGGTTGGTGTCCCAGGACTTCCCTGACATCTGGATACATGTCCAGGATCCAGGCTGGTGGAGACTGAGTATGGATCATGGTATCAAGACCTTGTCAGGAGATTGTTTATCACGTTCTCTCTCTCACGGAAAAAATAATTTTAAAAAAATGGGGAAGGGTCCAGCTGGCAATGTAGTGGTTAGGGTGGCTGGATCCCACATGTTGACTGCGCAGTTCGAATCCAGGTTGGTGGCTTGTAAATCATGCAGGGTGTGTGCAAACACATGCCCCAAATCCACAGAGAACAATGAAAGAAGGTATTGCAGTGGGGCCACCCCCCAGGAGGTGCTCTCTCTCTCTCTCTCACTCTGGGAAGCATATATGCCCTGTCGAAAACTACAAAAAGAAGGGGAA